TTTAGTTCCCAAATTCAAAACGAAATAACTCTTTTACATTTTATCAGACACAGTCTGAAATATTCGAAGCTCGATTTTTTCTATTATAATAGACACAACGCAAACCTTATTAAAAGTTGAACAACGGATATGTAACCTTTTAGAAAAATAAATCCGGCAAACCGAATAAAATTAATGTATCTTTTATAGGATTTAGGAATCTCGAAGATCCTGTCAGCACGAGGGTTGTATTTTGATGTTGAATGCATAAAGGAACAAGGGAATGATTTATCTAAATGCCAGGGTCAAGGATATGATGGCGCAGCAGCTATGAGTGGAATTTATAATGGTGTTCAGAAAAACCAAATAGATAAATTTGACAATGCATTGTACTGCTCATCATTTAAATTTTGTGCTTAATGATGCCATGTATGGGATATAACAAATTCAGACATTTGACAGACTGTTCGCTGAAACGAATTTATGTTTTCTCTGGTCATTACACACATCGATAGAACATATATGTTTTCTCTGGTCATAACGCAAATCGATAGAACATAGTATTATCAACAGTGATGGATTTCGATAAAAAGGGAAATTATCTTACATTAAAACGACACGATTGTCACCACAGAACGATTCTTTAATAGGTATAAGATTTGGATACTTTAATCTTTTTTAAGCTTTAACAAAAATTACATTGTGCCGGTCTGGATAGTCGAGGTCGCTAGGGCTGAAGGTTCGTACCTGAAGGTTCGAAGGATTCGTATACATTTGTGTTCGTATACATTTACCCCCAAGTTACTTACGGTAGTCGCTTATGGCCTTAGTCGTTGAAAAGCGACTTTAAATAAGTAATAAACAAGTTATACTTTCGAATAAATTGTCTTAAGCGAATGAAACCCGCAACTTGAAAAATGAAATGGTACATTTAGAATTGCTTTTTAATTAAGTACTATATTTCAAAATTCTAACATTGTTTTGAAATACCTTCAAAGTCCTGATTTGGATTTGCGAATGGCGCAGAATTTACTCGATGGCGCTTACGAAGAACTGAAAACTGTTCGGAATCAATATGATGATTTATAGAATTATCCTTATACTGGAAAGTAGAAGTGAAATTTATCGACAAACGAATGAAGAAAACGAAACATTTTGACGAACTTTGCGAGGATCAACGACTCGCTGACGGCGAACAAAGATACAAACTACATGTTAGCTGTGGATTCCTACATATTGTCGTTAAACAATTGGAGCGACGATTTGTTGGATTGGAAAATACAGTGTCAATTTTCAAAGTGATTCAGCGACAAGTTTTGATTGCTTTTCCGGACGATAAAACTTACGAAGAAGCACAAAAACAATCAAAATATCCTGCCTATGTCGCCTCTTTGTGCGTTTCCACGCAGTCAAATTTCAAAACTAGGGGGTATGTTAAAGATCTTGGGAACTTTTTAATAATTGAACATCGCTCATTATTAACAAGTTTTCTCGATGTGTCAACAGTATCACATTATTTTTGACACTTCCTGATAGCGACAACGCTGAAATAACGTTTTCAAAATTGAAGCTGATAAAAACTATTTAGGAAGTAAAATAACACAAGATCGTCTCTGTAATTTAAGTATTTTATCAATTGTGCACAAAACAACAATGTGGTTGAAAAGGAACGTTTCTACTGTCATTGATAGATGGCGAAGAAAATATCAAAATTCACATTTTAAATATCATGAAATTACAAAAACGATAACTTATCTTCTGTAATAATTTATAATGTTTTCACTCCAAATATTAAGTTCATAATCACAAAATTATCTCAATGAGAGGTCTTTAAATAAGAGGCCCCCGTATTTTGGCGGTCCAAGGGCCTTCTCTATTGAACTTACGCCACAGCCATACATTCTTTTATCATAAGTCTGATTTACTAATTTCTGCTAGTTTGTTGGTCATATAAAAAACAGAACGCATCACTTTGCCCCTTGCCAAGCAATTGAAATGTTTCTTCTATAGATGAAACTGTAGAGTCAATAATACGAATGTTAGTCAACGAGTAATGCCTATTTCTTCGACTTAAATAAAAGTAGTAGAGTAAAAAGTTAGATTTTGACAATATTCATCAAATCTTCTTCTACAATCCACTGCAGTAGTAACTTTCTACGTCAACATGTGGCAGCACAGCAGACGCTTAAAAAATTGCCCTAGTAACACATCCAACAGCTTCAGTTAAGCATCTGAATTTGTTGTGATAAAAAAATTACGTCACTTTTCTTTGGTTTCAGGGGATTTTAAAAACATTTTAAGACTAGTTTATTGATCATTTTTGGCGATATTTTGAATCTTTAAAATCTGCCCTTTCGTTATTATATTTCCCCATCCCAGGGATGCTACATAAATGCCCGACTGTAAGTCGAGCGTGGTCGGTAAGTTAAGATAGTTTTTCATTCAAAATGTTTTGGTCGAATGTGTCATATTACTGATAAAGTAGAATGACGCAAGCTAAACTCAGCTCATACTACGATACGATTTTATTCGTTTTAATGAATATCTTAAAATATTTTTATGGAGTCAAGTGGTTATGTAATGCTGCGCGAAAAAATGGCCAAATCTCAGCTGAAAAACTCGTATTACCGGGCCTTGGTAACGAAAGAGTGGATAAATCCAGTTACAAATTTTCGAAAAAATCCTCTAACACGTGGTGTAGGCAGAATCCAGAAAAATCGAATGACAGCAAAACGTCTGTTTGGCCGCCTGTGAACAACGCTGGCTTAACGTTCAACCGACTTTCTCCAACCTATCTGGCTGTCGTGGCACCTTGAATTTGAAACCTTATTTTAATTTTTGAAGTACACGAGACACTTTTAAACAAATGGCACCTTTTTATTATTTTTCTTTTTGTTAGATTCCGTAAAGGACGTTTAAGAACATGTTCGCTGAAAACCCTAATTTTTGAGAAATTGCAAAAGTTAAATTTTTTTCCGGAGTTTTCCTACCACTAAAGTAATTAAGAGAGATGTTTTCCCTTAATGGAATCAGTTCCTTAAAGATAGCATTTGAAATAAGGTCATTTACAATTATTTTGAAAAAATGTGTATTTTCCGCCTAATTTTACGTGAAATGTAGGCCATTTTTTAATTTTGACCAAACATTTTTTTTTTACTTTAACGCTCATACTAACGTAACAAGAGTAGTCGTGCACCGGAAAACGGGTAATTTTCGATACGAAAACTCTTATTGTCGGGCCCTAGTAAGGAAAAAGTGGATAAATCCACTTTCTTAATTTAGGAAAAAAATCTTCTAACTCGTGGGGTAGCCAGAATCCATGTTTTGTGGGTCCTTGATAACGAAAAATCGATTGACGGCAAAACGTATTTGTCCATCTGTGCTCAACGCTAGCGTATAAACCCGTCCAGCCGATTTTCTCCAAAACCGATAATCCGCTAATCGTTCTAGTTGATGTCACGGCCCCTGGAATTTGAAACCCGTATTTTAATTTTGGGGCTACTTGATATGAAGCTCCTCGAACATTTTCAAAATTTCCAATAAATGGCCCCAAATTTTTTGATTAAACTTTGTTGTTGAATACGACAAAAGACGATTAAGAGAAAGTTGTAGATTTCATTTTCATTGACATCTCCGATTTTTCGAAAATTGAAAAAAAAAGAATTTTTAAAACTTTAAAATTGGACAAAGGGATTTTTGCCTCAGACAATGTCTGTTGTACAAAATTAGCTCTTCTAAAACTTTCATGTACAAGTTTTCAAAAGAGTAGAGTAGTTTTTAGATATTTTGCGAATGAAATTTACAAAAAAACATTTTTTCAAAAATCGCACATTTTTTCTGTACATTTTCTCCACATATGTAAGGAACGGTAATAAATATGGCGCTCGTCTCATTTTCGGGTATTACTCGTATTTTCCGAAAATTGCAAAAAGGAATTGCGGTTTATTACGTAACCTTTACTAAGGGGGCGAGAAAGTATGTGCTGATGGAGCACCAGTAGTTTTCTCAAAACCGGCTTCAGACTATCCATCATTTCATCAAAAACTGTGAAGGACGTTTAAGACAGTGGTGTTGGTTTCATGTTGGTTAAATACTCAATTTTTGAAAATTGAAAAAAAAATCAAAATCTTAACGGCGTCTTCCTTTTCGAAATTACGAAAAATTTGAGTACTATTTGCGTAATTTTGCATGAAAGTACGTGCTGTTTTAGAACAATTAGTTACTTGCAAGTATCGTGAGAAGTTAAAATTAATAGTTATTGAAATTTTTTTGGGGGGGGGGTAATTTTTCTCATCCCTGTGGATCCCCGCCTGTCTTACAGCACATATGATGTATATGCCGTTTATGGCACGAATAATTGCCTCATCACAGACACATTCAGCCAATCGCGGGAATGGTAGCGGTAAAGGTAACAGCCGACCACAATATTTTTTGCACAATGTCAAATATCGTGAAGTCACAACAAAGTTTCTTCTCAAAATTTACTAAGATTCTTTTATAAATTTATAATTATAAAACTACGAGTAAAACAACACGTACTTTTTGCCCCCCCCCCCTGCTTTTGTCCTTGAAAGGACTCCCGGTTTTAACCAGGCTACATTAGTATAAATCTGGGTACTTGGACTCATTTATAATGACCCCTGGTCCAACACGCTCCATATTACTCCACAATTTTTCCCAGTCATGACAAAATGAATTGTTTGTTATGAATTATTAATTCTGCCACCACAGCACATAATCATTGAATTTCAGTATTTTTTTTATTTAGCAACAAACATGTTCATTATATTCTTTACTAGTAAAAACTAATATTTTTCTAATTCTGAAATATATTTCATATTCTTCCAAGAAACAGATTATCATAATCTCATCATAAACAACATTTAAGTTCTTTGAAAGTTTTTCTAAACACAAGTTACTATATTGGGAGAATTATTATCTATGTGAAATATTACAAGAGTTACATAATAATGAACAAAAAGGACTTTATTATGTATTACAAACGCCAAGCTTGCATATATTTTTACATGCCCATCAGTTTCAATACATGTAAGGTAAATGTGTTATTGGCAATTAGCAATTAGACAATCAACATTTCTTCATATGAATGATAATTAAAACCTACCATGTAAAAATATAAGGGTGGTGAAATGACCAATATGAATTGGTTAACTAAAAATAATTTATGCAAATAAATATATTTGTTGCCTATCTCAAAATGTAAACCATCAACAACAAAGGGGACTAAAAAATCAATATCTTAACACTTAGATAGGAAAGACAATCAAAAAAACAAAACATATTTTTAGAAAGTTAGGATTCATAATATACATGAAACGATGCACAAAATCTAATTTTAGCAATTTGTTCTACTGCTATTGCGTAATGTTTAAACAACAATTATAGTGTACAAGAGTCAGTGAGAACATACTAAGTTACACCATCGTATTAATGGCACAAAAACAATTACATAAGTGATATTTAGAACTCAATTTTTTTCCAACTGTCTGTTCCTTGCATTGTATAATGTTTACTCTACCCTGTGGAATTTACACATCTGATACCATTTAGGTCTCCATAAAGCCAAAAAAAAAAAATGGATGTCTCAAAACAATAATATATAACCTAGAATATGAATTTTCAAAAAACAAAAAAATGTTAATCAAAACGAATTTTTTTATATCACTTCTCAGAAGAGAGAATGATAAAATTTTATATAATTGATTTCCTTCTCAACACTAGACCTGCGAAATAATCATTAACTTGTGTCAGAAAAGGAAATTAAATTCCTGTTAGGTAGGCTTCACCACCCTTCAATGAAAAACCGTATCTGAACAAAAAACTTACAATTCAAGAATATTTATTATCAAAATTTCAGCAAAAGAAATAGGCACAAAGATTTTAACTTGCCAAGTTCTTTTAAGATTTTTTAGCCATGATACTAACATTACATCTAGGTATTATGTAATCAACAATTTCAGTTTGATTACCACAATGGGCAATATATTTGAAATCTAAACATATGTGGCTGTACAACTATTACTATCCTATTTTTTTTTTTAATTATTTTTTCATCTAAATTTGTTACCATGTCTATGATGTCTAACAAACATGTTCAAGTTTCCCTTGCACCAGTGTTTTGGTTTCAAGTAACTTACTGGAAAATCCAGTGTGTGTTAATAATAATTCACAATTTTTTTCATTATGAACATCCTGAAATTGAAACTAATTCACACTCAACATTTTCAAATTTCTCTGCAGTTTTGAAAAAGTTAGCTTTATGGCATCACATATTGAATAAACTCGGGATAATATAATACATTTTCCACAGTACTTGAATTTTTTATTTTAAGATAGTGCAACATTTTTGTGCGATTTCCAGTATATCACTTGTAAGTGATGATTCATAATAGTAGAACCTTCTACTGATTACTAGGAATATAGGGTAAGATAGTGCATCATTGCCAGCATAACTATGCAAATAAAAGTACTAGCATATGATTACAGAAGAACATGCAATTTGAAAAGAATATTCTACATTTTGTGTGCAAGTTTTCTTTCAAAATGTGATTACAATAAGAAAATATAAATATAAATCAACATGAAAGAAGTCAAATGTATTTAACAATTTTATTCTAATAGTTCAACTCTGCAGACTATCAACAGGCATATAAAAGGAAATTCAAGTTTTAAATATGAATTAATAAAAAGTTCCTTTGTTTGATGTTCAAGTACACTGGCCAGCATATTACTTGAAGAGCATAAACACTGAGTAAAAACAGAGCTCTCTTTTATCTAGAAAGTGTCACTTTTCAACCAGCTTGCAGTGCTATCATTATAATAATCACAAAAAATTACAAAGAACATAAGACAAGGAAAATAAAAAAAAGACAACAAAGAATATCACAATTATTTGAGCCGGGCCTGTAGCTTAGTTCATGAAACATCAATGTAAAAGTAATTCGCTCATTTTCTGCATGTCATTAAAGTTCTCGGAAGTCATCCTGAATATCACATTAATATGCAGTAAACAAAATTCTTAGTAAGTTCAGTAAATATTTTTTTCCCATAATTTTTGCAATTTTATGCTCATAATACGAAGGGCTTGGGTGTTAAAGATGATAACCCTCAAAACTGTAATTTATATCATAATATGATCTGTACTGCCCAAGCAGTCTTCCACACTTGTCTTCTGCCATCTATTGTTCATGTTGTATGATACTCAAATAGTTCAATTATCACTCTTAGTTGGCCCCTGGTGATTGTTGTTTGTATGTAACCCACATAACAAAAATGTTTGCTTGTTTGTATCTTAAAAGCGATTCTATGTGGATTATCATGTTTTACACCTGAACCCTTGTGTAAACAGGACAAAACAGATTCAGTCATTCAAGCCATGATATATTTAGCTGAAGGAAAAATATGAAGAAAAAGAAAAAACCCAATAAAAAATTGGGTTACCCATATCTTAAACAATGCTTATATGTACACTATAACAATGTCATGTAGTACTTGACAGTTACTTAATCAGCTAAAAATTGACTTCATTTGTTAAGAGATGCTAGATCTAGCAATACAAAGATAAATATACAGCTTTTTCAAAAAATAATTACCTCTATTAAAATGTTAAAGAGATTAGGCATTACAGGTGTTTACAAACCAGTCATTTATCTTGTAACATATAGATAGTTACACATACGAAAAATTCAAACCTCCACTTCTTCACTTTTCACAGAAATTGATTATTTCACTTGATTTCTAAACATATACTCCTCTCCCATTCTTATCTGACAGTGTTCAAGAGCTCGGAAAAGCTGCAAAATGACACTGTCTGAACATAAAAGCACCAAATATTCTGCTGTAATAATTAATAATATCGGGAAAAAATGAACAGATAATAAAGGCAATGAAACAATTTGCTTACATTAAAATTTATAAAACCGTTAGGAAATTTTTGAATCCAAAATCATTTAGAAGTAACAACCATCCTGAGCGCTGTAAGTGACACTCCAGAGACAATGGTTCCAGATCAATCAAATTTTTTAAAATGAAAAATGATTTCTCCTACTTTCATACTAGTTTTAATAGAATTAAACTATCCATAAGACAAGCTACAACAGCTTAAATCTGAAGAAATAATTTTTAAACGTCACATACAAACTTTCATCAATTGGGAACCACTGTCCTAGTAACAACATCAAACAACACACAAAATAATATTAATTTACTGGCCATCTACTTATTATTTAGTACCAAGATGCATAATGAAATATGGCTCCCTGTGTATTCCACTATTTACAACTACTAGTTTTTAAAACACACAACTGATGGGTACACTACATCAGCGTAATTTCTATACCTTACTTCATGAGAAATTTGTAATCATTGGCAGAAATACATGATGAAACAACAAAACAGCTACATTACTTTAAAAGCCTTTGAATTTTCAAATTTAACTCTGTATAAACTACAAGGAAAGTGGTATCTACACACACAATCATTAGTTATACAAATAACTCCTCTGCTAATTTTGAAAACCAAAGTACTTTTTTTAACGACAAGGGGGAATCCAGTTTTCAATCTACTATAGGATTTAATTATTGACCAGCAAGGATGAGACACATCAATGTAAGCTGAACAGCACAAATTCTTATGCAATAATCAGAGAAATCACAATTCCTCAGAGAAGGCCAAGTTAATTACAGAATTATTTGACCCTTGGAAGAAAAAACAACTAAGAAATGTATAGTCTGAAATCCCACCCATTTTGCAATACTTCTGTATCTTACAAAAATAAGTTTCAAAAGTAAACATTAAATAATAATGTGAAGTATTGAAACTGCTCTCGTGTACATTTATTTAAATTAAATTGAATTGAATTATTATGAAGTTATTTCAAATTATGTATTATTTCAAATACTTTCTGGATGCATCAGATAAATTAATAAAACAAACATCTATATTTTTTTATTTATGTTTATTTTGCTTGTCTGAGTTCAATATGATATCCAATTTTTTAAAAAAAACTGTTTAAATAAAGAGAGGAAAAGATGTTCTAAATGCCACAAATTAACAAAATGCCTACAGAGAATAAAACTTTTAGTAACACAAAGCTTTGTACAGCAAAAAAATTGAACATTAATATTGCAGGAAGTATATTCCTAACATATTTTTCTAAAGAATTCTCTATGTACTGGAAACTAATTTTTGATTTTTGATTTTGATTAATGAAATGGAATTTATGAACATTGTATATCAACAATCAGGAATAACTGCAGCTCAAAATTTGTTTCTAAAATTTCAAAAGAATTTTGTACCCTGTTGTATTGGCAATTTATTGAAGTTTTTTTTTTTTTTTTTTTTTTTTTTTTTTTTTTTTTTTTTTTTTTTTTATCTTTCATAAATTAAATGTGCACATATTTATTTGAAAAAACGATCTCCTCCATCCTACATTACACAGCTCACAACCAACTTTCTACAATAAATCCAGAATATGTTTTAAAATTTTATTTTTGTGACTAGCCAAACACAAAATCAAAAAAATCACTTTGAGAACTAAATTCAAAGTTCTTTCAACTGTGATAGTTTCAAGATTTTCATTTAGTTAGCTAAATTATACAAAACCCTTCATCTATACCTCCAATAGAATTATGAATACAAATGCTAAAAAAAACGTGGCAAATATTGTTGACAAGCCAATATACCTGCAATCATATTTTATGATACTATTAAGGCAGCAACATTTATCCAGGAATTCATTTTATAAACTGTGAGATGCAACTTAAATCAATTAGTCAAGTTTATGATTTAATTGCCACATTTGGACTATTAGCCAGGTAGCTGTTTTTGTCATGTACAATGAGGAAATACTATGTTGAACTAAATAAACTGAAAAAATAATACTGTAAAATATACAACAAGTACTTAATGAAAAATTAAATTTATTTTGATAAATTTAGTTTACTTACTTCAGTCTTCAGATTTTTTTCTCATTGTTTCTGTAGAGGCCATAGTAAAGATACTGTATGTATGTTTTGAACTTAAAAATAGAAATACTGTTCGAGGTATTATAAGCATCAGCGCACTTATTATTTTTAAGGGTAGAAACAAATTTAAATTTTCTCAAAGCTGAAGGTAAAGAAAATAAGAGTGTGCCTTACTCAACATTCCACAAACAAATTCTGAAATATTACATTTTCAAATTCGTCACAGCCTGCATCGAATCTTGCAACTTGTGAAATAAAGCAAATGACAAAAAACACCAATATTTAATACATTTTCAAATACAGTTTGATAAAAATACTTTTACTGCTTCATCACAATTCCCATTAAAGATAATTAATGAAATTTCAAAAATCAGAAAAGAAAATTATTAGACAAAGTATACGAACTGTGAAAAAATATTCATAGATAACTGTAATTGTTCATTATGACTGTTTATGTAGAACTAGGAATGTTTTCCTCCTCTTTCTTGGAGATTCACTTCATATATCAAATTAATATATACATTTATACTCATTCATCAATACAACCAGCACATAATTTCCAAGTTACAATACCTTGAAATTAATGTTAATTTAAAAACTAGTAAACCATCCTAAGATACATTTTAAGAGAATAAAACATTAACTTATAACTGATATGTAGATCTCCACATAATAGCAGGTTAGGTTAAAAAATATCAATAGGTTTTTCTTCAGGAGATCAAGGTTCAATCACACTGGAAGAAGTACTACATAACATCCACCCTACCATATACAACTCCTAACTTTCTTTTCTTGGGAACATACACTATGCACACTGGCCAGGCCTGCATAGCAAGGAGGCACAATAAGTGCATAACCATTCAGGAAACACATAGACAACATGTACAATCTACAGCAAACAGCTGAAACTTCAATCTGATATTCTTCCTCTAATGCACTTTCTCGTACAATCTAGGCAGCTGCTCCAACACCACCTGTGGTTTGCTTCATTTTAAACCATGGTGTTTCCTTATACAAAAACCACAGGTCAGAAGCCCACAAAAAGAAGTTCAAGAAACCCAATGTCTGAAAAGCAAAATTGCCATTGAAAACCATGTAAAAATATAAGATACGGACATTTATTTATTACAAAATTTGAAAATTGCGATATCTTCAATATTTATTTTAGCGCAACAGCTCAAATTACGAGATGAACAAGTGAAATTCACAGAATGCTCATATCGATTGCTGAGAACCTGACTGTTCCAAGTCCAATTTTGTAACAAAATGAGATTTCTATTTCATTGCGTTGTATCTCTCTGTCTACATGTAAGCGTCAAACAAAATAGTAAATATTTCACTATTAGCATGCAACAATCTCATTCCATACTAGCCCATTCCATATTTACCTATTTCAGGGCTGGGCAAAATACTTTAAATTTAGTATTTAAAGTCTTCGCCAAAATACTTCTTTATAAAGTACTTAAATACATACCAAAATACATTAGAACTTGTGTTAAATTCGTATTTAAAATATTTTAAATACGCAAAATACTGTAAATATATGGTAATCTTGACTGGCATATTTTTTATTGCCACAAAATTGTTTTTGTCAATTACAATAAATTAGTATTTACAGTCATACATATTTTTGAACAATTACTAATGTAATGTATTGTAACAATATGCATAAATATTTTCAAATATAAAATATCCAAAAAAATGTCTAACACAAAGAAATGGAATTTCTTTTTAAAACAACTAAATTTTCCAACAAATCAGACAATAAACCACTAGTTAGCGAATGTGTAAAACCTGCAAAGCAAAAGAGTCCTTCAACTGGTACGGATTAACATAGTGTCACAAAGAATAAACACTTTTTATTTATTGTTGGATAATTGTCCAACATTTTTAATGATTTTCTAGATTTATCTTTTAAAAATGAAGAGAATCCAAATTCAAGTGCTGAAAGGAGCTTTTATTTTTGTTTCAACGAGGTATATTCATTGCCGGAATCTAAAAAAAAGAAACTATCCTTGTTCTAAACTATCTTCTTAGTCTGTATTTAATTTTAGGTACCCGTTTCTTTTTTTAAACACACCTACTTTATTTAAATAAATCTCTGAAATACATACTCAACAAATTCAAAAATACAGTTTTTCAAATGTATTTAAATACTACCCAACCCTGCCCGTTATATTCAATAACTTTGAATGGCTCTCATGAAAAATTTAATGAAATGGACTTAGAACAGTCTGGTTTTCAGCCATCAATATGTACCTAGGCCCTAGACTTTATTTTCACTATCTAAATAGAATGCAGATCAACTATATTTTATGAATTTACGCACATGAGCATTTATACCAAGATGAATTATCACTTTCTTTCTGAATCTATTTAGTATAGAATCAATACATTTTCTATTAAAAATTAGAAGACACTTCTTGTAATTAAAGCTCAGACATTCATAAGCAAAGCCAACAAGAGCAAGAACGCAGACCCATTCCAATGAGAATAAAATGTGTTTTGATAACATTGATTAAAGGTCAGAATATTATCCACCTTACATTAGTATAAGTAATAGAACGCGTGAACTGAAAATTGTTGTTAGATGTATCGAGACATACAGATAGGGATAAGTAAGTGCCAAGTACTTCCTTGCTACCTACCATGTTAGTTGTACATAATAATTATTATATAAGATTTATTGGGAAGCCAGAGGACAAGAAATAGCATGATTGTGCATGTTTGGACAGTACAGCCAGTAAAAGAAAATGGACAAGTGGAAATGTTTGGTATGAATGCAGTCACAGAATTCCTCTGAAAGAATGCTTTCTGCAGCAGATATTGACCTCCAGGTGCTGAGAGTATGGTGAACAGTATTTTGAAGCCAGTAGCTTTAGGAAAAGCATTTCAAGGGCAGAAAAACTAACATCAATGATCTTCTGAACACAGGGCGAGTACAGCCTCCAGTGACAAGAACACAGCCTATATCCAGGAAATGATCCCAGCAGACAGGTGTATTCCATTGGGGAACATCATGCCTGGTTGGATTAAGACACAATGCTATCCAGAAGCTGATCATCATTTTGGTTTACCACAATGTATGTAGCAAATGGATGCCATTTGCAAAGACAGATAAATAAAAGTGAACAGAAAAGCTTGGCTGTGGAACTTCTGATAATGTTTTCTGACATGAGAGAATGAGAGATGAAGTCGCCAGATTTGAGTAGGAAACCTTCCCACACTTTCCATACATGCTAAATCTGGCACCATAATGTTACCTACCATTTGCTTGGTTTTAATAAAGAACAAATGCAAAGAAAATGGTATGCCAGAAACAAAGAAATGGAACTTGAAGGTTGAAGAATTCTGAGAAGTGTTTAAATGGAGTTCTGCATGAAAGGCATTTTTACATTACAACATTGGACTCTAATAACTCAATGAATTTTACGTTCAAGTCTAATACAGACAGTACCTTCGATAGTTTGCAGTAGTTCACGAATTTCAGAACACACCATGTACTTTGTAATAAATGCTATTGTACAAATCACAAAAGTTATGCTGAGCAAATCTCATGTTCTATCAGATTATTCTTTTTGAGTTTTCCTAATTTGAATCCACTTATTGTAGATTTCATGATTCCTCCAAGTACTTTTTTGGTATCTTCCATGTAAATTTTAACTAATAGTTATTAATTGAGCTTCTGATTGAAAAATTTAACGATAACAGTATCAATTTTTTCACTGTATGAAAAAAAATAGATATTTTCAAAGAGAACTTACCACTGAAATGACAAGACCTGAATAATCACCACAAGATATACTTCTGCAAAAATCATTAGGTGGTTTTGAGCACATTTCTTCCCTGTATCTATTGGCATCTGTTGCCATTTTCAAGCCATTTAAACCATTTGCCCAAGCTCCACTTCCAGACAGCCAAAAAACAGACAAAATAACTGTCAAGATGAAGTCCTAGAAGCCACAAACACACCAACATAAATAACAATGTAAGGCATTAGGATAAACACAATTAAGGACACACAGTAAATCAGCTTAATTACCGTTAATGGTAGTAGTCCATTGCTCTGATACATATCACTAAGAGTAACATATACTATCACAATAGCAATACAGTATAGAAAAGACAAAACTCCAGTGGCAACAAAAAACTGAGCATCCGATGAAAAATTTCCAACAAGATGAAGAGGTTTACCATCATGACAATATGGTTTAGGTTCTTGAATTTCATCTAACCTGAAAAAATAATATTATTTTTGACAAATAAACAATTATGCATGAATTTCTAGACTTATAATTCTGCATGATGTGAGTAGACAATTCTACTTGATTTGTTAGGAGTACCCTCAATTAAAATTCTAAGAAATTCCTTAAGTCCATTTAATTTTCCTGATTTGTCATCAATTTCAATATTAGACAAGAATTTCCATCCAAAAATTGGGCAAAGAATCCTGACATAGAATATGAAACAGATGCCTTTTATAGTTATTAAGTTACAAATCTGAAGAGCTCTGAATTTAACAAACAATTAATAAGGTCAATATTATTATAATCTACTAATTAATCCTGAAATTGACATGTATGATTCTTTGAAAGATATCAGCCTCTTATCATAACAATTCTGTATTTTCTGATATCTAATGAAAAAGAAGACAGAGCACTGTCTTCTCCACAACAGATTCTATAAAACTAGTGAATATTAAACAATGAATGTATTCAAGAATCATATCAAGTGCCAAATTAAACTTCTCCGACATTAATCCACGAAAAATTGCATTCTCTCTCATACATATATTAATGGAAGTTTATTTCAAAAACATGTATCAAAATGTTAAAAGTTTATTATAAAAAATTAATTACCAGTTATTGTTCAAGACTTATTTTAAACTGATGATAAAATTACACTTATATCACAACATGAAATTATTTTATAACAAAAATTCTTTGATATTTTCTTTTTTCACTTCTGATGAACACCAAAATACGTTGGTGATCATTAAAGACCGGATTCCTGTGTTACTGCATCTGATGATGATGATGATGATGATGATGATGACGACTTATTATTATTATTATTATTATTATTATTATTATTATTATTATTATTATTATTATTATTATTAAGATTTAAGGGCGCTTCAACAGCTGTCATTGGCACCCATGTCAAATTATATATATGTAACTAATAAGCTAGAGTGCTAGCAAGGTGAAGCCTACGGCGGCTATCTTTCACCTTAGAACAGTGCAGGAGAACATGATCCACTGTAAGATTCGTCTCGCAACTATCACAAGTCGGGTGGGTCACTACGCAAAGATGCCCATGGAAGAAATGGCAGTGACCTATCTGTAGGCATGTCAGAGCGTGTCAGTAGTTTCCACAATGCCTATTGTCTAATTCAGATTTCTGAATTATTGCAGCAGAGATAGGTTGCCGGGATAGGACCTTGGTTGCGTCTGCTCAGGCAATGCTCTGTTCAGAGTCTGTCTTTCCAATAGGATCATATATCAGTTTGGTTAGTCTTCGCTGAACTTTCCAATGAGACAGCATGTCACATTTGACATTACATCCGGGCGGAATGCTTAGTAACAAGCTGCACTGTGTTTCAAATGCATCGAATTTCTCGGAACAGACATTACCAGGTGAAGTACAAGAGAGATAGAACAGTTTTTTACCGCATTTAGCAGCGAGCACACAAAGAAGTATAAATGTAAAACAAAATTTTTCTTTTCTGAAACATATATTAGTTGATAGAAGATATAATAATTTCTCAGAAAATAATTTGGAAATATGCATAATAGTATATTATAATGTAAACAACTCAGAACATTTCTTCTGTAACTCAATAATTTTTATTTCTTAAGTTATATTTGTATTTTTTAATTTTTGTATTTCCTTTTTATATTTTTATGCTAATTAAATTTGTGTGAGCGAATAATATTGAACATTTCAAATATGGTTTGTTTAAACAATATGTACAATGTTAATTATATTAACATTAATTATATTTCATTCATCTTAAATATCTCATTCAAAATATAAAGATGGTAAGTGAATTAACTGAAGTTATTAGGCTACATAACACTGTTTGGCAAAGTCTTGATCTTTTAATTGTAAGTTTTGCATTTTTTGGTGTTTTTACTGTACAAAAATCCGGTCTTTAGTGATCATTATTTCTCATTACATTATGCTAATTCCAATTTCCATACAAGGACGTCTACACCAAAAAAACACAATATTTTTCATAGTTTCTAATTACTCATCCCATAAAAATGTCAAGATATTAAAATGTTGCTTAGCAATAATACACCACTAAAAATCAGTAGTATTTCATAATTTTTACTCACTCAATGATAACATGAAAGAAAGTTGAAAGATAATGATAATACAATACCTGAAAGGGTATGAAAATGGAAGGTCTACAACTTGTGTTGGTAATGAACTGTTTGAACACGTCACTTCAAATCTCATAGAATTGGAATAACTAGTAGTTGTTGCAAAAGCACAAATACAAAAGATCTGAAAGAAATTACAAAATGATTGTAGAATGTTAAAATTTGCATTTTCAAGAGAGAAAAACACAGATTATAACTCACAAATTGAAGAATTCGCATCACACCACGAGGTTCCCGAAATACATCGAAGTTAAGTCCAACAGCAGTTTTCATGGCCTGAAAGAATAACTATTATTGAAATTTGAATGAAACAGAAGTATCTTACGCAATGTATTAACCCTTTCTGCTAAATATTTCAAAACTTGCTTAACAGTCATAAAACAAAAGAAAAATGAATAATTTATCACAACAGAGAAAACAAAACATTCATATTCAAATAAGGTAAATGGCATATCAGGAATAGTTTTGTAGATACAAAAACATTTAGTATTAGTTTCTTAGCATTTATGTTTCTAGCATACAGGTTATGTTAACTAGCGAAGTTGACAACATTGATTTTCAGCTACAGATTTATATTAGGCTACATTAATTCTTACTCAGATAATAGGTGTTGTGGTAAGATATCTTTGGCATTTTTAAAATAATTAAAGATGTTGTCTTTGCCAACAATATTTTTTAATGCAATAGCAGCTTTCGATGACTTAGCCATCATCATCAGTTGTCTGCTAGATGGCTAAGCCATCGAAAGCTGCTATTGCATTAAAAAATATTGTTGGCAATGACAACATCTTTAATTATTTTAATCAGATAAACTGAGAAAGAAATGCCCAGAAAGTGCCATGCAACGAGCAACTATGTGATTTTACCGCCTCTTCATATTAAACAACTAAGAAAATTTGAATAACCAAGGTCGTAAATGGAAAGTCTTGCGTATCTTTGAGAAAAAATTCTCTATCTGCTATGAAAGTAAAAGAAAGTCTGTTCATTGGTCCCCATGCAAGAAATCTGAAGAAATCCCAAACATGATGAACATTATTAGAGAAAGAGAAAAGCTGTGACATGCTTCCAAAATGTGACAAACAATTTCTAAGGAAAATACAGATCTCCAGACTAAAACAGTGACTAAAGTGCTTTTAAATGCTAACCAGAATTTGGGTGTAATAAATTCCTTTAAGTTCACTTCTTACATTCTGATCTCTACTTTTTCTCCCAGATTCGGGATCACATAAACAAGTCAAAACATTCCATAGAGATATAGAAACCATAGGAAAGCAAAATATTTGGATGCCAACAATGCTAGCTGACTTTAGTAAGAATCTAATGAAAGGCACTTCAGATGTTTATTAAATACTAAACTTTTATTTATAAGCTATAAATGCTGCAACTACTATTGCAATTGCAGCAGCAGGTCCATAGACTATTTTTTGGGGGGGTGGGGGGAGATTTGTTGTTCACGCACACGCACACACTTGTATGTGTGGGTACAACAAATCCCCCCTAAAAGAAAAACAATTTGTCTCTGGACCAGCTGCAAAACACACAAAGATAATATAAATTATAAACAATGTAAAATGCTTTTAACAAAATTAAAATATTAAGTTTCATATTCAATCAATACTTTATGGTTTTGTCAGAGTATGAAACTAGGGGAGGGAACAGCACTTCTTTCCTCACCTGTATTTTCACGCAAAACTATGCGAAAAGTCCTCAAATTTTCAAAAACTTCACTTAACATTATTTCAAAATGTATCTTTCAGGAACAAATTTCATTAAGAGGAAAAAATCTCACTTCATTTGTAGGGGCGGGAATTTTTTTTAATTTTCGAAAACATAGAATTTTCAACGAACATGAGACCTGTGCATTCTCTTAAATGTCCTTCACACTATCCAACAATCCAATTTAATAAAAAAACAACGGAGCCATTTCTTTGGTGGAATTTAAAAATGTAGCAGGGGCTCGAACCCCCCCTCCCCCCCAAAAAATTAAAATATTGGTTTAGAATTCCAGAGGCTGTGACATCAGCCAAGAACGATTGGGGAATATCTATTTTAGACAAACGGATTAAGCGTTAGCATTGTGCACAGTCAAGTCACAGGGATGGACAGACAAAAGTTTCGCCGTAAATCAATTTTTCAGTATGAATTTGGCACAAAACTGGATTCTGGCGACATCACTTGTTAGAGACTTTTTTATATATATTTAGCTACTCGATTTATCAACTTTTCGTAACCAGGGCCCAGCTATAAGAGTTTTTGTGTTGAAAATTCGTGGTTTTCCAACGCACAACTGTGAGTCGAGCATGATCGGTAAATTAAGAAAAGTTTTTTATTCAAAATGTTTTGGTCGAATGTGTCATTTTACAGATTAAGTAAAATGATGCAGGCTGTGATACAATTTTATTATTATTCATAATTATCCGAAAATAGATAATAGAAATTGAATTTTTTCTTCCGAGGGAGAAATTCCAACCCCCCCCCCCGGAAATCCACGACGTCAATTGCCAAGGTGTTATTAAAATTAAATAGTAATCCATATTATAATCACTAATTTCTAATACTGTAAAAGGAGATAAAAATTTGATAAAATGATTTTGAAAAATCAATAACTTCACAACCATCCCTGTTAGAAAAATCCAAGCATTTATCTGAAATCAACAAAAACTGCCAATAAAAATCAAAAATAATTTTTTTTATAACACTGAATTAATTTCTTTAGACTATAGAGATGGATATGAAGGTATTGTTTTGGCCATCTGTCACACCCTTGTTTAGTTGCAATCTGAACTGACCTGAGAATGAGGAGTACAAAATAAAGTATTACCAACAGTGCTCAGCAATTTTAATAAGATTGGACAGCAGTTTGAGAGAAAATTTAAATAGAAAAAACCAACCGCAAATTGACCATTTTTATTAATTTAAAGTAATATATATCAATACTTTACCATTATGCATTAAATCTATCATATTGTTTCACCTGCAAAACCAGCTATGCGTACTCATTATGAAAATGAGTTATGTACACTATATGGAGCAAGTGACTACTTATTGTACTTTAATTGTATCTTAATTATACCTTAACTTTAAAATAGGTTGTTTAAAACTTTAAAATTTATTACAATTTTCAAGTAAAAATAATTTCTATAACATTATTATGCAATCAATTTAAACATGATCAACATTACTTATGCTTGTAATGAAACAAATAAATGTTATAAGTATGTCATGAATACCTGATAAGATGTTCCTGGTGGTAACTGTCCAGCAGGCTGTGATCCAAATACAGAATATTTAGATAAAGCTATTATTAATTTTGTTTGTAAAACTTATTGCATTTAAAACTCCTTATATAAACAAGTCATATTATGGGAAGGAAAAGTATTAGTTAAGAAATGTAATCCTAAAACATACATAACAATTTCTAATCTTACAATAATTAGAAGTATCAGTCCTGCATCTGTTCTAAGTGAATCTAGTATTGTTGTACATTCACATTGGACAAAGTCAAACAGAACAATTATAATTACCATTCCTGTTTCATATTGAGTGGGCATAGGCTGCACAACAGAAGAATACACAGAATATGATCAATATCACATTGTTACAACATTAAAGGCTGTCATTACATCAAATTACCATTAATACCTTTTTTATGATTAAAACTTAGGGCTTAACTTTAGAACTAAATGCATTTAACTCCACTAATATTGACAATAAACACTTCACAATGCTTTTGATCTAACAATAAGATATAACAGAAAACTTACTAAGCTTGTAACATGCAATTGAAAGACAGATTAATCATGTTTGAAAATAATAATATCCAATATTGTTATTTGTTTTTTCAACTCATTGAAAATTATATTTATAAGGTTATGGAGTTTAAATCACAGTGATTAATCTAATTCACATGCCGATCTTTCAGCCCTCGTAGGCAATTTAGTCTAAACATGTAATTCCTGAATTATGATTTGATTAATCACTAAACTCAAGAACCTAATAAATATGATATCCAAGTCATCACGATTATTAAAATTATTTCATTTTCAACTACCAATTGATGGAATGCTTCTTTAAACACAGTATAATTTACTTACAGTACAATCTTCTTCCCTACAATTTAATCAATCTATTTTGCAAATACAAAGGTCACAAACATGCAGCCAAATATAAAATTAATAAAGTGACAAAATATGACATTAGTCATTTATTCATTCACTCACTCGGTACACATTCTACAAAAAATAATATAGGTGGATATTAGAATTAAAATTTTATATATTTGCACATAAAACTCTCCATACTAAAAATTAATACCATGGTGAACTATTTGACATAAAGAGACTTTCTGATCATCTTACCTGAATATCATTTTCATAATTAATATTTCCTGACAGCTAAAACAAGTTAGAGAAAATGGGTTACATAAATAAATATTTTAGTGTCCAATTTCAACATACTCTTGCCAGCCTACCACACAGATTATTTAATATTACGAGTAATGAGGGCATATTTTTCGTACATAATCTAATGAGAGGTTTTCGTCATTTTTCTAGTTTCCGGGCTTTATCAATTCAGAAAGAATGCATATACGCAATCCTATAATTTCACAGATTTGATAAACGGTGCTGAACGGTTGATAACAAGTAGAAATAAGGTAAGGATACGCCCTTTTTAACAACAGGAATTACGTTGAAGTAAACCATATATGTACATGAAGGAATATAAAGATTAATGCATGCACCTGATGAGAAGCTTCCATTTTCACCTAAGATGATCTTCACAACGTCTTGTCAATCGCAATAAACAACGTAAAGTACGTCAAATCAACGTTTATAACCCGATATCACACTTCTTTCACTGTCCACCACAATACCGGCTTATAAACATGAGCGGAATCAACCGAAGATGACTGTTGCTTGTTTCAGTCTGTAAGGTTGGTGATGGTTGGTGAAACCAGTGCACCTCGATCCGCTAGATATCTTACTCGGATATATCCATGAATTGACGTATCCTTCGATACGGTCACGTGGACCACAGAAAGGAATTTCTATTGAATTGCGCGCATCTTTCAGATGCTCTTCGACTATTTTCCCCTACGCGCCAACAGTAAATTTATGTCACATGTCCATTTAAAATATAGTATTGCGAAGTAAAATGCTTGAAATTACACGAATGTATTGTTCATTTTAATATTCAATGACAAACACATTCCAATAATATAACAAATAAAATAAGATAAGTGATGTAAAATTTCAAAACGCCGTAAACAACGTAAATTACAAACTTTAATAATATCATAAAAAGTTAAAAATAAGGAAAATAAATTAATTAAAACGAGTTAAGGGCTGTAGATATGAGTGTGGTCGAATGTCAATTTCTTAGTATTATAAAAATAATTTTCGTCTGCAAAATATCCGCAAATTTACACACCGTTTGTCACATCGCTTCGCGCGAGCTACTCGCCTTCCTGGGAAGGCCGGCGCTCCTGCGAGTACATATCTCTTCACCTGATGCGACTCTTAATTCTCCTCCAAACCCAGAGAGGGGTGTACACTCGCAAAATGAATTGCGGCGGAATGGCGGGGGAATATTGACTACATGCGAAAATATGTTTGCCTTATGTTTGTCACACTTCCGACATTTGAATTATGATTATATTCTTCTGTATTTATTACTATTTCTTGATTATTTTTTATTAAATCTGCCTTGTATAAACATTTTTGCCAAGAAGCAGGAATATATTTGAGTGGCAAATGTTTCCTTTCATTTATTGGCCATTATTTCATTTAAAGGCCACCTTCTCCAAAGGCAACAGTAACGAGGGCTGCTACAGAAAATATTGTCCGCTTAATTTAAAATCACATGTCCGAAAGTAGAACTTTATACTCAAAATACTATCAAAACATTAATATATGTTACATCATTGTATTCCTCATTTTATAATCTATTCATTGCTAGTGAGAAAAAAATTTACTTCCTTTTATAAATCAAAGATAATTAAATTTCTCGAAAACTAAAAATATTTCAAGCAATATCACTATGGCATATTACTTGCCCCTTATTCTCTTATTCTATGTACCTTGACTTACCCCATGATTCTTCATTGTTGAGCTAAAACTACATTTCAATATCGTGAACCGTTTAGAAGCTATGGGGGGTGGACCCAAATTAAAATCTAGGTATTCAGGCTTCCCTGGCAAGCAAAGGATTTGCGCCCCTGATAGCATACTTACCATTAGGGTTGTTATTTGTTTTAGCGGGTATAATATAAGTAGGGTCCCTTGATGGGTCACTCTGCATACATAATAATATCGAGTATTTTCAAATTTTGTAATGATTGGTTATTATGACATGAAAATAATGACATAAGTCAGCTCACTCAAACTTTTCTATGAAAACTATGTTCACTATAAGTTAAGCAATCGCGCGCGCACGCGCGTGTGTGTGTGTGTGTGTGTGTGTGTGTGTGACAGTCCATCGCATACGGTTAGATCTCTTCAGGTGCATTATCTGGGACAAATGACGTGTCATTCGACGAGTCTTAGTCTCCTGGTGGGAAACTGGCCATTTTCTTAAAATTCCAATGTGTCAGAGGATTTTCTTAAATTTATAAATACCAGGCGAGTTTCTAAATTGTGGGCAAGCCGATTGTCGGTCACTTGTCTGATACTAAAAATATTATCAGTACAAGGACGACTAGCTGTAAGGGTCCCTTCACACGCCGCCACCGCAGCGCGCTTCCGAGCACCACGGCGCGTAGCAGAGCATTGGTTTGAATGGAGCCCTTCTCACGTGCAGCGCGCGTGCGCTGCTGAAGCAAGCGGCCGTGGACTCAAGCTCCGCGAAGTGGAGGAGGGCGTACACGCCACCGCTAGCAGAACACAGCTTTAAATTGAAGGTTTCCCACTGTGCCGCCGGTCGCGACGTTTTACCTGCTGCGGTCCCTTTGTTCGTCGTCGCCGGAGGGTCGGCGAAATCAACCCGTGCAGAACCCTTCCCTTTCCACGGCAGGCGGCGGTGCGCCGTGACTGCAGCGGTGGCAGCGTCAGAAGGGCTCTGCTGCTTGACGGAAGCGCGCCGCCGTGGCGACGTGGGAAGGCGCCCTAAAACCTTCCACATGCGTAAGATCTTTTCAAGACGATATTTCAGTATTTTGCCATATCAATACGGTCAATACTACAGAGCACATGAATACCGCTTTTCCACCTTGTTTTCTAGCTTCCCATTCTTTCTCGCCTTACTACGAACCGATAGTAAAGAGAAAGTATTGTAATGAGGGGAAAAGCCACGAATTTTCGACAGAAAAACTCGTACTGACGGAGTCTGGTGACAAAAAATGGAAACATTTCGTCATGTATGTAGTAAATTACTTCCTCTAATGGTGGCATAGGAGAAAGAGCAACCGGAAACGTCGAACGAGAATTTGGCCGCTCTACTGGGTAAGACCGCCCGATAGGTGGGTGAAAAATGAAAAGAGACTACATATCGAAGATATTTAGCAACCATTGAAACTGTCGCTACCGTCACTGCAGAGTAATCTTCGTCCCCATCAGACGGTCGGTGGTCCGATTATTTAGCTAGACCTACTAGTGCTGCTGTTACCCCATCGCCTCGCTTAGCGCCCTGAAGACTCCAGTAAGCCAAATCCCTGTGCTGATTTCTTCTTCTCCCCTATATCGAAGGCCTACCATTGGGACAGGAAGGAAGCCGATGATCCCCTGCTCTGACACTTGTCCAAAGGAGGTGGAAACGTCTTTGCAGGTCGAGATAAGCAAACAGCCTTATACCGATTCCCTTCCAAAACCTCGGCCCATAGGCAATGGCCCTGAGGAACTCGCAATGGTAGACATTACCTCCTCGGAAGCAAATTGTGGGCGATCCCCTAACGAGGAGGCCGTTGTTGTTTCAGAGATTAATCAGGAGCTTTTGGCAGAGCCCGTCCTCTTTGATTCTGTTTTATCTGATGTTGACATGGCCCATTCCGACACCGCTGGTTGGTTTGGACAGGACCAAACTTTTATTGAGTCCTCTACTGCTATGGTCCCCGGAGACGTAACTACTGAAGCTCGCCTTAACAGAGACACACAAGAAGCCAAGCCTAACTGGAAGGAAAATATTTCCACTTGGATAGAAAACTGGGGTACTTCTAAAACTAATGTAGATCAAGAGCTCATTGAGGTGGGAAATGAAATCAAAACAAATATTGTATCCCAGGCCCAATTGAACGAGACCTATGCCAAGTTAGTGGAATCTTGGGCGGTTCCACTGTATCCACCACCATCAGTTCTAAAAGGCTCCGCAGACATGGAGGCAAACGCGCTAGGAAGCGCTACTCTTATGCCAGGGCACAAGAACTTTCCAAGAATGATCCAGCGCTTTAGGCAAAGTGCATTAGAATGGGCATTGACTGTAGTAGTGTTGATAAACAGCTCCTTAACAGGAATGAGGTTAATGACCTGTACAAATCCATCTGGGATTACACGCCCCCGATTCGCATTTCCGAATTAAGAGAGGGTGATAATTGTTGACACCCGAAATGGACCCAGACACAATTCTATATGCGGTGTAAGTTGCCGAAATTAAAAGTCGTCTGGCTGGGATGAAAAATGCCACGGCTCCAGGACCTAATAAGATAAAGTTAGCCATATATCCTCAGGAGCGATAATTGAAATATTGGCCCTATTGTACACCCAAATTTTATACAGTGGCTTTATGCCTTCTGGGTGGAAAACTAATCGCACCATCCTTATACTAAAAGAGGGTAAGGATAATACGGTAGTCACTAACTATCGCCCCATCACAATTAGTTCTCTGCTATGTAGAATCTTTTGAGGCATTATGGACAAATGCATTCGATTCGTGGTGAAGTTCAATCCACGCCAGAAAGGGTTTATCCCTGAACCTGGCTGCTTCGCTAATATTCAAATTCTTCATGAAGCAGTCAGTGACATGAAAAAACAGAGGGTGGTGTAGGTGTTGTGCTAGATATATCCAAAACATTTTACACTGTTCCTCACGCGGCTATTCGGTGGGTTCTGTCCAGGAAAGGGATCCCTGACGTTTTTACCACTTTGGTAATGGACTCTTACGCCGATGTTTCCACTGTCATTCAGCACCCCTCGAAAAGAATTGAGGTGCCAATTCGTAGAGGAGTAAAACAGGGGGATACCTTGTCCCCACTCCTTTTTAATCTCATCATGGAGTGACTGCTAGAGGAATTGGAAAATATGTCAGAATACACGCTATTGGGAAGGAGTGTGTCCGTGTTAATATTTGCTGTCGATCTGGTATTGTTAGGAAAAGATACCGCGGAGCTCAAGAATTGGTTGATATTGTGGAGGAATATCTTGGGGCCCTCGAAATGACATTGACCGTCGCGAAATGTTCAGCATTTCAAATTACAACTTTTGAACGATCCTGTTCCATTGAGGACCCCTGTCTGGAAAGGCTGAGGGAGAGAAATCCCCTTGTCAGCAATAATCATACTCTTATATACCTGGGAGTGAACTACTCAATCTGGTACGGCTTCCCATCTTAAGCATCCATATCGAATTTAATGGAAGTAGTGTCGAGGCTTCAAAAGACGCATTTAAATCCCACTCAGAATGTGGCAATACTTCATACCTACATAATGCCACACTACCTTTATCAATTGGTTCTATTGCCATCAATGTCGATGGTCAGGGAAGCTGACGGTCAAATCAGAGTGGAAGTGAAACAGTTCCTACATCTGCATATGAGTACTGAAGATGGCTTATTCTATCTGGCTAAGGAAGATGGAGGACTGGGATTGCTGCGGCTCGCCCAACACGTTCCTAGAGTTGTGCTGATTTTAGGATTACGATTAGAAAAATCTGCAGATACTATTTGCAGATGGTTGAGCTCCTGTCCGAGTTTTTACCAACGAATACTAAAGACCGCAAAATCACGGAGACTCAACTGACCCTATTCTGAACAAGAGTTAAGGACTTATAAGAAGAAATGAGCC